GTCGAGTGTTTCTCTTTGCTTCTTGAATGCTCTAGCTTTAATTATAGCTCATAAAAACACACACGTTATTAGAACGTCAGTTACGGCACTTGGCATGGTTACAAACTTTGTTTGGTTCTTCTGATGCTACTTGCTGGCCCGCTTCCGAATTTTCACTTTCAATTACGAAAAAAAGCTACAGAGACTTGTAAGGCTGAGAACATTTATTTAAGCTTCTTACATTAACTGCTGATCGATCATCTTTTATTCAAAGTACGTCATCGTGTATTTCCTCAAACGAGATGAGAAATAATTGCAATGAATATAAGTGGCTTCTTTTTTCTTGTCGATGGCATAGATCTTATTTTGAATACACGAATGACTAAAGGGCAAGGTTTCTAAAATAATTGTGGTGCTACGTCGGTGGGGGTTTAAAACAAGATCATGTTATTTTTATCAACAACAATTATAATGTAAACTAGTCACAGTAAAATGATCTCTAAAATTGACGTTTCGAGCGTCAGCGCTTCATTCGCCCTAAAGAAGGACTAACACTCGAAACGGCAACTTCAAAGACTATTTACGTTTGCCACTTAATCGATAAAACCAAGCTAAGCCTCCAGTTTGTTTTCGTCGTTCTGCGTTTCGTGCACAAACATTTAAACCTTTCCCCATGTTTCACAGTTCAACTGTTTGGTGCACATGCACCAGCTTTATAAAGAAACTGACGGCTATCTCCACATTGAACTAGGAAAACAATGGAAAACAACACCGCAAAACCTCCTTTAGACATCATGTTTCTTCAACGCTCTACAGTACCGTGACTCTGGCAGTTCTAGGGAGAGTGGGCTTCTGAATAAGCATCAGCGGGGTGTTCGCAGTTACGCTGCTTTAACTTCTCTCAAGTTTTTGTTTAACCGTATGTAGTGCTTTTTATTTCCACTGTAAGCTTTCCCTAATTTTCCAGTCTACATCTATGGGAGCTATATTAATTACAAGAGAGTTTCAGTGGGGACGTTTAATTTGGGCCAGATAAATTGTCTTTAAACACTGGGTTGATAATGTAAGTTGGCCACCGTTATGAGTTTTTAGTTTTAAGAACTCTTTGCGGTCGCCTATTTACTTTATAAATTCAGTTGTTATACTTAATATCTTGAGATGCCCTCTACGTTTTACGTTCGATATCTACGAAGTACATTCAATCACGCAAATTTAGTTTCAATTTTTCAAAGCACATGCTTTTTTGCAATTACTTAATGAAAGCGAGGGCGGAATTAATCAGGAAATTCTTTCTTGTTTGCTTTCTTTCAACTGTGACATGTGCCGCGAGCAAGGTCAACTCTTTACAATAGAATGATCCTTCTAGACGTGACAATAAGGTCTAATTGTCAATTAATTTTTAATATCTTTCTCACCGATTTAATAACTTTGAATGCATTGACCAGACAAGAACATAAGCAACTCAGCGATAGGTGAAAACTAGGAGATGTTGCCAACCAAATACTTTGTCGTCTTTGTTTCATTCATTGGATTGATTCAGGGTATGTACATGTTGTGGTTGTTACGTATTTCCAATATAGATAAGCATGGGAAGCGTTTGGACAGCTTAGTGCTGAAAATTGATCAAATCTTTGAACGGACATAATTTGTGAGTGGTTTTTCATGAAATTCGTAACACACTTTGTAAAGATATGTCTGACGTAAATCTTAAGTTAAGAAATACATTTAAAGAGGATGAGGTTCGCCACAAGATTTCCGTTCCGTAATTATGCAAGATATATATATCAAGTATTTACGTCATCAAAGATACATTGGCTTTTAGATGGACAGAAGAAGTGTTTTCAGGGGAACAATCATTATGTAAGGGATTTGACACTTGCACTGTAAATACTTTGCTCTCCAGATAGCTTCATGTTATTTGTAATCCCATAATTTACTCGAGACGAGTGGAGTATTTTTTTTATCCCACGTGACTCCAATTTGCTTTATGTCTGGAGTCGCTCTCGCTGAGCAACTTATGCTATTCTGCATTCACAGTTATTACGCTTATTTTAGACGGGATTCGTAAATCCTCGTATTGAACTTCGCGAGTCGATGTCTGGTAATTTTGCTGCTCCAATGGAATTCGAAACGACGTGTTTTTGGACAAGTTTACCTGTAAAACCTGTTGAGAGTGCTTCGAAGTGCCAGTAATGTATACATTAAGCTTTTGACTCGAACTGTCTGTTAGTAAACTTAGTTTTGCTATTCCAATCGCTTGTTTTCTGGGTAATATGAAGATATTTTGACGTCACTCAATTTCAATATTACTAAGTATCTGTCCAATCTTCACGCAAGTTATTCGAAAGAAAACAGGCCCGGGTTGTTCAAATATGGGTTAAGATAACCCAAGATTAGCATGAAATTTGATTTCAGATCTGAAAGCTTTAAAAGAAAATTCAGTTAAAACCCTTTTATTTGCAATTTGATCATTGGATGTTCTAAAGAGAAGAGGGAAAATTTTATCTAAAAGGCTTTGGAAAAAAGAAATATAGAAACCTGCATTAAAATTTAACCCTGGGCTAGCATTAATCGGCCTTTGAACAACTGGGCCCAGCAGATGTCAACATCATACCCCAAGCCAACTAAAGGGTACTATTTCTCGGCCTCTTCCCTCGACTAACAACGTTTCTATGCAAAAGATTATTGACATTTTTATTGTGGCATATATGTTCCATATATGCTATATTTCAAGACCAATAACAAGATTAAAGGACCTAACTTAGCGTCCGAGAAATATTGCGACAAAAGGTTCTCTTCATTTGCTGAGTAATGTCACCTCTTTGATACGAGAAACCGTTTGAAAATTTAGCAAAATAGCTCGAAACAGATTAAGAATTGTGGGGGATGAAAACTGATTGTCCTAGGGGATATAGAATTTAATTCAGAGCTCCTTCTGTAAACGGTGTCATGACGCAGCTGATCAGTTAAAAAAAAAACTTGAATAACCAGATCAAATTTGTTGAAAATCACTCTAATAAGAGGCTTTACCCCAAAAGTTAAATCCTCAAGTGGAGAGAAAAAAATCCATCAATCATTCCCATAAACCGCTGTTAAATTACCTCGTACATTAGCATATGAACATTGATGGGCACAGTACACCCACTGTTTCAAACATCAATCCTTTAGTCAACTCATGCCTGAAAATCGTTCGAATGTAAAGAAGAAAGAAGGAAGATTGGTTTTTCAATGCTCTGAAGTTGAAGTTTGAAAATAATATATCCAGCCACTTTTGAGCGACTAATTCTACAAAATATTAACAAGTCTCGAGTTTGCCCTCAAACTGTTAGGTTAACAAAAAATAATTGTTATTTACATTTATATTGAGTTTTTCGGATATGAATGATACATCAGATTGATATATCTTATTCAGTGACAGTATGATAGAAATTAAGAAAACATGTTAGAGATTTCGTGTAATAAAACTCAAGCTCCTTACCTAGTTTAAGAATTCTACTTTTTATCGAAATCCGATTGGTTGTTCATTCAAGGTGTGACGTGGGCTAATGCGAAATATTGGGCAATGTTCCAACCTTTTCAAAATAAAACTTTATTATATGATGAGATATTATCATTAGGTTGAATGATTTCGGACAATCAGCATCACCGAAATTGAAACCACGAAATTGAAGCAAGGCTAAGGCGAGGCCAAAGGACGGAAGAAATGTTGGCAAACAAAGTTATCTTGTTACTTATAATCTTAACTGCAGCAGCAGAGGGTGAGTACTGACGCCATACGGTCGTTATTTACTTTCACCTATTTTAAGGATCCCTCCAATGAGTGAGTATCATTCAGACTGGGTTAAGACATTCAAAGATTGTTTCGCTTCATCAACTGAGTCGAATATTTAAATTAATCCCCATAAAGAGTTTCAAGATTTGTTTTAGAGCGTTAGCCCTGGCTTTGCCACTCACTGTGATTAAAGGAACGTCACTAAGACTTTGTATTTGGATACAAACGTTTGCTCTGACGAAGGGCTAATGTCAGCTTGAGAAACTCTTTATAGCAACCACTCATGTTACGAAACCGAATTATCTTGTTATGCCCCCCACCGACGCAGCATAACAGTTTCTTTAGTGGCTTACCCCGCTAATAGTATATTCTACTATCGATCCAACGTTTCTTTTAGGTATTTGTCAGTCTCATGGTTGAAGGAAAGACACCAAGACTTTTTATTTGGATACAAACGTTTTCTCTCTTTATAATCAATAGTGAGTTTGCCGCTCAAGCGTAAAGAAGCGCGACTTATTTGCATATAAACAATACTTATCTGTATGAATTATTTGGTCGTTTGCATAAATTTGACTTTTAGTTCCAGAAATAGCTGCCGACTGAGGTTTAACCTCTACCTAATCAGCGATCCCTAGACAATTTTTTTTCCATGACTATGAGCATTCATTAACTCGTACCCACATTCATAATAACCTTATTTATCCTCAGTAAGTTGTCAGGCGATGAGAGTGTATTTATGAGTAAAAGACTTACTGAGTTTAGATACCGGAATATTAGTTAATATCTCGCTTTTAAATATTATTTCTCGAAAGGGTCCACGTCACTTTAATTTGCATTCGAAAGGGAAAAATAGACAATAGGATTATATTTCAGTATTGTAACTAGGAAACGAGCTTGTTGTAAACTATAAATCCCAGAAAATGAATAACCATCTTGATCCACATAAAAATGAATTTGGAAAATATTTTAGGGCAAGGTACCACGTTGACATTTAAATGAACTTTCCGTCCAATCAAACTTCACGGACGCAAGCATTTGAGATCGAACGAAAAGTCCTACCTACTCACGATACGCCTCACAGGTTTCATATTTTTAGAAGTTCCGCGTGAGACACTGCATCCAATACTTGGCGGCAGCTCTTTTACTTTCGCTTTACCGACTACGTGGAACACGATGCCGATGTGCCGAAATACTGACGATCTACTTCTGCGTTATCTTTACTTCTACAGGTTTCTTATTTGAAAAGAAGCCCCCAAGGGTATGCCATAGGAAATACGGCTGCTTCAATAAACACCCTGGAGTTCATTGGGGGTTTCTCAGGATTAGAGCAAAATTACCACAAAGCCCATCTGATGTTGGTACTAAATTTACCATGTTCACCAGAAGTGGTTCTGGGGAAGTTGATGATGATAGTGTAAGTAGATTGAGGGCGGCTAAGTTCAACATCATGCGACGAACTATCTTCGTGATTCATGGATGGACGGGTAAGTACCACGAATGCCTGCAGCTAGAGCCCTTAAACCTGGGATCTGCATAGAATGTAAAATCTGGTGGGGGCAGGACATCAACTTGGGTGTTCACTATCCCCAGAACATTTTTAAATCAATGAGTGGCAGATTAATAAACTGGTCATGGAAAGTTTTGATATTTGATCCCTTCCCCTCGAAAAAGGTCATTGATAAAAATAAGAGCGGTTGAAGCCCTGGTTTCGCAGACGCACACATCTGGTGTGGCACAATTATTCACTTCCACAAGAGACATAATGACTAAATAATTTATATCTCTCTCTCATACACCAAATCAAATCTAGAGAATTCAAAAGGCTGGGCCACACGGATGAAAAAAACGCGCTAAAGAACCGAGAGGACTGCAATGTAATTTTGGTGGACTGGTCCAAAGGAGCAAGTAAAGATTATTTCCAGTCTGCTGGAAACACTCAACTTGTGGGGGCTCAGGTGGGAGAGCTTATAAGGTTCCTGATTTCCAGTGCCGGTGGGTCACGTAACTTGGTCGACAAGTTTTATGTTATAGGATTTAGCCTTGGTGCTCAAGCAGCAGGATATGCTGGAACTTATCTGAAGGATAAAGCCGGAATGACACTTGGCCGTATAACAGGTACTTCTGGGGAAAAAAATTTACGTACCATGGATTACATTAAATTCCCTGTGCCATTTCCAGCAAAATTTTTATTGTTGAATGGTAACGATCACGGGCAGAAAATTCAAGATTCGTTAATTAAAACTAAGCCACAAGCAGAGGCTTTGCGAAATATGGGAAATACTTTGTTTGAAATGTAAGTTTTCGTTTGGCCCACATGTGCTTGAACGTCCTGTTCAAATATCCTTCTTGTCCACCTTGCTTCCCATTTGGTTGGGAAACTAATCGGTGAAGGACTGCTTTTACCTGTGTATTCATTCAAGCCCTCGAACTGACTCAAACTTGACTTTGGACCGACCCTTGCTGTCTTTTTCTTTTTATAGGATTAGATCCAGCGGGACCCCTTTTTTACCAATGTCGGCGATGCTCGCTTCCGATTGGATAAAAGTGATGCTAAATACGTTGACGTCATACACACTGACATGCCACCGAAGGTTGGATTATTCGGTCTCGGGATGCGTAAGGAGGCTGGTCATGCAGACTTTTTTCCAAATGGAGGCGTCCGACAGGCTGGCTGTAAACAACACCTTGCGAAGCTGGGTACGTTTCTGCACATTGCAAAAGAAATAGAATATTCCTCAAGAGATCCACTCCTTAGGAGGTTTCAGGAGGTGTCAATTTTAGATTCCATTTTCTTAGGGGGCAAATTTTGTGATCTTCTTCCTTATTTTTTTAAAATTTTTTTTAAAGAAACCTGCCACTTGACTTCAGTGAGTTGTTCAGCTCGGGTTAATTCCTAAAAGCGCATAATGTGACAGTTAAAGGAAAAAAAGCAGTTGTTGTGGTCACCTGAGCATTCCTATTTTCGCTAGTTTGGAATTCATGTGCTGACCAGAATCAAAATGGCGAATATAATAACATACACAGGCCAAAATCCTCTTTTTCGTATCTCTTGCCATCCTTTCTTTCCGTTTTGACACAGGGTCTGTTTTGGTTTGTTTTAGATCTGTATTACTTTCTTTATTCCAAGTTACTGTTTGAAACGAGTGGTAAAGTACCTTTCAATAACCTTTTCAAAAATCAACCTGATCAAGAAAACAACAAAAAAAAATGCAAAGGAAGAAACTTTAGAAACAGGCGATGAGAAATAAAAGGAAATACAGATAAGCGGTACAAGGACTGACAAAAATTTAAAACACTCAACTAAAATGATTTTTCTTTCTTTAGATATCTTCCAGACAGTGATCTGTGACCATATGAGGGCTCCAGAATACTACATTGCTTCAGTTCAAAACAATTGCTCCTGGAAAGCGTTTCCATGCCACAGTCTCTCAGACTGTGAGGCAGGAAAGAGCACTCCATGCTATGGTAAATGCCCCTCCATGGGATATGATGCCGACAAAACAGCACTAACTGGCAATTTTTACCTAAAGACAAATAGCAACCCCCCATTTTGCGGTATGTTGGTGTTTATTTTGTTCTTCCAGATGGTTTTGCAGCACCGTTGATTAAGCTCAGATTATTTGTGTAACACCCAGTCTAAGTCGTATGGTACCCATACATAAATTTGAGCGCTGATTGCGTTAACCGAAGTTTGCCGTAATTACTTTATGTTATCTAGATGCTTTCTGTTTGCTGTCTTTGTTCTCTTACTTTATTACACTTTGCATTTTCTTTGATTTCTATAAATCATGAGCGCAGTATCATATTGGAGTGTGGCTGGTACCTGACCAACTGATTCCCAATGAAAGCAATCGCAGATATTGAGGTTTGAAAATGAATCCAGGCTTTTGCGGGCCTTCACCCATTCCTCCCAAAGGGCAGTATAACGCCATCGCTAACTGGACTGCGAAGGCACTTGCAATTGTCTGGGCCTGCAATTTGATAAGAAAGATAAAAGGCTCCATGGTTTGAACGTGAGGTTATTTTGCTTAAGGTCTTTTTCCCTATGAAAGAGGATCACTCCACTGTGACAGAGTGGAGACAACCTAAACAAACTATTTTTTCTCTTTTCGGTTCGTTAGGGTTGAGCTAAAGTGTGCAAGTGCAAAGGATTGTGGATCTACGTCTTGATTAAAGAATCCACCGGTTCAAGTCAAACGAATGATTGAAGAATAAATTTCTTTTC